CAAAATAATTGCAATTGCAAGAATTAAACTGTACTCCGACCAATACTTCTCAAACTTCATGTTCATATTAGTTCCCATCTTGTTCATGAAACCATCATTATCTTCCATGGCTGCCTTGATTTGGTGTTGTATTATGAACACCTTAGGGAAGAATAAATTTGATGTGGGGTACTTTGTACCAGAAAATAAGCATGTAACATCATAAAAGTACCCCAAAAACTTGGAAATCTTCTCTACTTTAATCCACTCTTGAGGAGAAGGACAACTACTAAAATTGGAATCAATCAATCCTAAATTAATAAAAGCACGATGATAGAAAAGTGCACTCTCAAGCATGGTATAAGTTGAGTTCCATCTAGTAGGGACATCTTGTCTCAATCCTCTCTTACTACCCATTATCCCTAAAGAAGTATTTGCAGAAGCATTATCTAAAGTAATAGAAAACAACTTCTTCTCAATCCCCCACTCAGTTATGAATGTATTGATTTTTTCAGATAATGCAACACCAGAATGTGGAGGAGGCATATGACAAAAATTTATAATTCTTTTGTGCAATCTCCAATCTTGGTCAACAAAGTGAGCAGTAAGAGCAAGATACCCATCAGTACATACAGAGGTCCACAAATCTGAAGTTAAACAAATTCTTCCCTGAATTGAGCTTAACAAAGTATGAAGCTTTTGTCTTTCACTTTTAAACATCCTCAACACACATGCCTTAACAGTATTTCTACATGGCAGCTTAATATCAGGATAGACATATGCAAACAAAGCCTTAATTCCCTCATATTCAACAAAACTGAAAGGCAAATTATGCTTGATGATCGCCTCTATTAACAAGTCACGAAATTTCACATAATCAAATTGCGGGGAACGCAATCCTGAAGATGACATAAGTAATTGCTTCACATCACCATAAGGCTTCTTAACGCAATTTTTAGCATGATTCAACAAATTTCCCGTCCCATACCTACTATCACACACATATACAACCCCACAATGTTTACATTTAGCACGTTTTTTATTATCTTCATCAACGGGCAGTAAATCAAATGATTCCCAAGCAGGAGATCTTAGTCTACGCTTACCCACATTGGCTCTAACCTTTTTCTTTGTAGGGCTTAACTCTTTCTCTTCTGTATTTTCAGTATTTGCTGCATCAATACCCATTGAAACATCAACTGACTCCTCATCATTAATATGAATATTATTGGTAGGACTATTTTCTGTAACATTCATCATCCCCTTCAAAAATAAAAACAAAGAGATATAGATATTATTAGACAGCAGTTAGTATGAAAATTCCAAACTCACAGAAACTGTAACACTAAATTAAAATACAAGGTTGATTCTTCTTCATGCTTTATTGTTGGTTTGAAACTGTAACATTAAACATATATTATATATAATATTTATAAATTAAAAAAATTGAAGATGGACCATTCCATTGAATGGGAATAATCTGGACATTTGTTATTGTTAATGTTTTTCTTTCTCTCTCTCTCTCTCTCTCTCTCTCTCTCTCTCTCTCTCTCTCTCTCTCTCTCTCTCTCTCTCTCTCTCTCTCTCTCTCTCTCTCTCTCTCTCTCTCTCTCTCTCTCTCTCTCTCTCTCTCTCTCTCTCTCTCTCTCTCTCTCTCTCTCTCTCTCTCTCTCTCTCTCTCTCTCTCTCTCTCTCTCTCTCTCTCTCTCTCTCTCTCTCTCTCTCTCTCTCTCTCTCTCTCTCTCTCTCTCTCTCTCTCCTCATTTCCTCTTTCTTTCTCCCCTGCACTCTGTGTCTCCAGCAAATACCAAGTCAGAAGCCTCTATATCTCTAATTGACAGTAGAGTAAAATAAGAAAAATCAAACCCGTCCAGTCCAGTACATCAATATATAATTTCCAGTGTCCACATAAATATATAATTTCCATACTGAAAATCAAATAAATTTACCGAATCAATTAAGAAAAACATTCATACCTTAACATAGGATTTAATAGCAGAAAAGATCTTCAAAGACGGAGAGAGGAGAGATCGTAAGAAGAAGGAGAAGATTAGAACTTGAGAGAGAAAGAAAGAAAACTGCAGAGAAGAGAAAGAAAAGAAAGCGGCGGAATGACTGAAGAGAAAGAGATGCTAGGGTTATATTTTTTAGAATATACAATTACAAAATTACCCCCGCTTAACGGGTTGGTTCGTGTATTCGCGAATGGACACCGAAACGACCCGTTAGCTTAACGGGTGGCTAACGGGTCAACACGATAACAACACGACACGATAACTCCAACCCGAATACTGAATTTTTCGTGCGAATTCGTGTCGTGTTATCGTGTCGTGTGGGATTTTGCCATGTCTAAATACAATCCACCCATTCGCAAGTCCAAGTTGGTGACATTAGGGTCCTTTTGATAGGGAGGACTAAACCTTTTACTAGAAAATCACTTAAGCCACCCATTGCCCTCTCCTTACCTCCTTCTTCCTCTTTTCAGCCAAGCCCTCGTTAGATCCTCTCTTCCCTTGCCTTAAAAACTCTGTTTCTCATAGGAAATCACAACTCTTTCTCTCTCTCATGCTAAACTCACGAATGCTCAGCTCCCATGCCACAAGCTTCTCATGCCAAGCCATAACATTTATCTGCAAGTAATTGTCTTTTTGTTGGTGAAGATAACCAGGGTGTTTCCTAAGGCTCCGCTGCCCTTTCGAAGCACACTTGGGGTTTGATTCTCGAACTCAGACATAAGGGGCGATTCCAGCCATTTGCTCTTTACAGCAGCCCAGGCCCATTCGTCAAGCTGCTGGAACAAAAAGACCCCCACAGGGGGAAATTGGCGAAAAAAAGAAGTTCATATCCTTAATTTTCTTTTAAAAAAAAAAGATGGGGGTCAATTGGTTTAGGGAGTAAATCACTAGTATACCTTTTTTTTTATAAATACGGAGAATGCACATCCTTTCGTACTTTTTGGATTGCAAAAGACGTCTCCAAATGCATGTATATATTTTATCATGATTATAAGAGAAAATTTGTTATAAATTATCTCAATATAGCATGAATTCGACTCTTGATTGACTCTCTGTTTTCATATTCCTTATGCTCAATAGTAGGTCGATAATGCTTAAAAGATATGTTGAATATGGCACTTCCTCCATGCAATCAATGGGGGCACATCATCAATTAATTGACAATGAGAGTGTGTAGGTTTAGAATCCAAGACTATAAGTTTAACCTAGTATGTGTAGTCGTTGATATCATAGTAGAAATTAGTAAGAATTTCTAACCCAAATCCAGTTAATAATGAGCGGGAGAATCCAAAGACCTAGGTAAGTTGTATTTCTCCACACAACAATTAGTTGCATAGACAATTTTCATGAATAATTAGTCGCAATACAACCGTCTCTCACAAATTTAGTATGGATTCTCACACAAGTAAGAGCATTCACAATACGACATTCTCTGCCAAAATAACGGGACTCACGTATATCTGCGAGACCCACACACACCAGAAGAGACGGTTCTATTATGACTCCCGCTTTGTGTAGCCTCAAAGTTTGCTCCGGTGGGTTTGTGCACCCCGCATGGAGAGGGCAACCCAACAAGATCCAATATTTCCAACTTGTCCCCTCTTAAGTCATAAAGTCACCTGGCAACCCATCCTTGTACGTAATGTAAGTCAAATATATCAAATGGTAAAAACAAAAATTGTTTACTCTCTCAAATACATACCTATATGGCAAATGTGAATCACATCATTATTAAGAAATATCTTTGTAATTATTACTTGCCCAAATTAGTCAAATCCCACTAATATTGGATCACAGCTTCTAAGCCTTAACAATAGGATTGATAGAAGGCTATGCATGTATATATGTATTGTACTATTTTATACGAGCGGTATTAGAGGAGGGGGAATTGAACCTAGGACTTTAGGAGCATAAGTAAATACTTTTAATCACTTAAACTACAAGCCTCATACTAGAAAATTTGATTTCTGTATGTGCTGGAAAATTAAATCTACATTTTTTTAGCATGTGACTTTACTTGTTGTATATAAATTTCTTTACCAACAAAAACCCAATTTAGACTAAACTTGGGTTGTAGGTTGAACCATGTTAATCACGCATGCTCAATACTATGCCAAATCTTTGAATAAATAAATTAAGTTTAAGCAATTGGATTCTCTTTTGAGATGAATAAATTAAGTTTAATAAGCAACATTTCGCTCAACTTTATCAATGGGTTTTAATATTTTTTATTTATAATAAGTATATTTTCTATCATATATGTACGATAAAGCTTTTGATTCATTATTTTATTGATCTTTCAATTATATTATATGTCATCATTTGTAGTACGGTAATACGGTTACGTGGTATAATTTGTCCACATGTTATAATCTAAGTGGATATTTATTGATACTATTTCCTAAAAGGGGGAAATGTCAACCATGTCGTCCACCCATATTATAACACGTATACAAGTTATACCATGTGGTCTATACTACCGTTTGTATTCTATAATTTCTCATGTATATTACCATAATGCAACATAAATCACCTTTTAAAAAGAAAAAAAATTCAAACCCCATTTACCAAGCCCAGAACTAAAATACTCATATCTTTATCAATAAATATTTTTATCACTAATACCTAATTTTTCTTAAACTCAATTATGTACGGTATATCTAACCAAAAAGGAACAGAAAAGAAAAACATTTATTTATATTTTTTTTTTATGACAAAAAGTTTAGGAGGAGGGGAGGTTACCTTATCTCAAGTTCAGGGCATGCCTCTTTGAGGACTTACAGAGGGGGTCTTAGCTCATTTCAAAAGAAAATCATGGACTTTATGGCCAATTAATCTCTCAAGTCTTTTTTTTACCACCAAACACTAAAAAACCCAAGCCAATAATTTACCCAAAAAAACACTATAAAAACTTGAAAAATTTGATGGCACCGAAAGTCCCTCAGGCGCATTACATGACTATTCTACCTAACCTACTTGTTCATCCGCGTCATTCTTCTCTCCTTTGAGGCTCTGAGCTCATCCAAATGCCCGAAAACCTAGCACTCTAATTTTAGAACCCCAAAACCAAAAACCAACCACGCATATACACAAAACACAACGCACACACTCAAATGGATAATCAACCAAAACACTCCTCTATTGGATCCAATCTTGCCTTTCTCTCCTTACTCTTGGCTAGCGTTGTTTATCTTTGTATACGGTCTTCTTCATCCTCCCTCATAAACCCTCCCTTTAGCTTTCAGAAACATGACGCCCAATGCCTGTCAAAGAACTCAGTAAGTTACTTAAATGCTCTTAACCGTTTGAGCTACATAGCGCTAGCTATTGGCCTACCTCTGCCTCAGTTTTCTAAATTGTTTTTTTATTTTTGTGTGTTTTTTTCACAGAGCACCACTACCACCACTACATCTAATGTGGCGCCAGAGGAGCTTTTGGCCACCCTAGACAAGGCCTCGATTGGCAACAAGACTGTGATCATTGCTGTTATAAACAAGGCCTACGCAGTCCAAGAGGTCAAGGCAGACACCACCATGCTTGACCTTTTCATCGAGAGCTTTTGGCAAGGGGAGGACACTAGGCATCTGCTTGATCATCTTGTGCTCGTGGCTGTTGATCAGACGGCCTACGATCGCTGCCAGTTTCTGAGGCTCAACTGCTACCGGCTGGAAACGGACGGTGTTGATTTTGGGGGAGAGAAGCTTTACATGTCTCAAGATTTCATCAAGATGATGTGGACAAGAACTTGGTTTCTGTTGGAGGTTCTAAAGCGCGGTTACAGCTTCATATTCACGGTAAACTTCTAGTTTTTGAGTTTTTATAAAAAATAGTCAAAATTTACCCCCTACTTTCATAAATGTCAATTTTTATAAAAACTTTCAAAAATAGCAAAAAACCCACTTTAAAAATACTCAAATGACCTCAAAACTAAAACCCACATCAATCTAAAAAGCAAAGCCTGCATCTCTGTTTTCAATTTGATTTCAAAAATAAAAACAGAGTTTCGATCAATGTTATATCATTGGAGGACTGAACCATGAATATGATTTCCAACCTGTAAACTCCCCTATGTTTCGATCAGTGTTATATCATTGAAACAGGAAAAGTACCATCGAAGCAATTAAAAGCGCATCATTAAACATAGGATTTAGAGCAAACATATGGTGATCATGATTCAAATGACTTACGTTTGTACCTGCAGTTGTACTGCTATGCAACTCAGTGAAAGATATATAGGCTTGGGGGCACTGTAGGGAAGCTTCATGGTTCAAGTCCTCCAATGATATAACATTGATGACTTTGCATGCCCCAAAAGAAGAAGGCAAAACAATCTAGGCTTAGAAAAAAGGGTGGCAGTTTGTGAAGATGGATGGGTAGTCATAGGACGGGTGGATGATGATGGTGTTGTGGAGAGAGATATTTAGGGGTTAATTATGTTTATAGATTGACTTTGTTTTGGAAATTGAGGGATAAAGACGATTTCAAAATAACGTGATTGATTGGCTCATCGAAATAAATAAATAAAGGCTGCATGTTTATAGAAAAACAAAAAACAAAAAATAATTTCATGAAACTAGTCTCTGATGGTGCCACATTAATTTTTGTTTTCCAAGTCTTATCCTTATTAAATGTATTGATTTTTTTTACAACTTTGTTACCACCTTATTAAAAAAAAAATTAAATAAGAAAAACTGCCTTTTTATTTTAAAAAGTTTTTTTTTCCAAAGAGAACGGTTTCTTTTTTCCACAACAAAAATGATGTCACTTCCATGATAACAAATTTATAGTCATTTGACGAAAAGATATGTTGTAGTTTTTATTTTTCAGGTATTTAAATGTTAAGATAAGCACACACAAAAAAAACAGTAAAAGATAAATATCAATAATACCAATATCCATTGAAAATAAAAAATAAAATTTTAAAATAGAAAGTGATAGAATATTTTATTAACAACAACAGATTCATAGTAATTTTCACAATAGTTGATTAAAAAACATTTGTTTACAAAACTAGTTGTTATATATATATAATTAAAAAAAACTAGTTTATTAAGAACGCCTGTTTTCTCTAGAAAAAAAAAACACTGACATTTTTAAAAAAAAAAAAAAAAACTAACCTTTAGAGTAAAAAGGTGGTAAGATCCCCTGTCCCCCTAGGAGCATGGCCGTAAAAAACTACAAGTTACACTCCTCATATAGGATATCAACTAGAAGATCTGGCGGTTCTTCCGTTTTTTCTTATTTGATTTTTTAACAAGGTGGTAAGAAAGTTTTAAAAAAACTACTCTTGTAAAAAAGTCTATATATTTAATAAGAGTAAATTTGGAAGACAAAACTTAGCTTGTGTGATGCATTAATGACATTGTTTGAAGTGTAAAGAAAATTACACATGTCAAGAAGAGAAAGGAGAAGGTTGCTAACATTCCCCTTTTAAAAAACAAGCTTCTTTTAAAATTAAGTTATTTTTTAGGTCGTTGACATTTTTTATTTATTTTTTGTGAAAAGATTCATATTTTAAAATTGAAATTGTTTGAGACTTTGTAATTTTAGTGATAAAGCACCTAAACTAAATCATGACGAGAGTTTGACTCTTCTTCTTCTATTTTTTAGGTCATATATATATAGTCTTGGGCCTCAATTATTCATAAAAACAAATAAGTACTTCAACCTGTAGAGCTGAGAAAACATTGTCCACATGCAGAGCTCTTCCTACAACAAACTTGCCATTAGAATCACGCACCACGATTCCCACACCTCCATCTGTATTACCTGCTGTCCAAGAGCCATCCACATTAATTTTTAGACTTCCTGTGCATGGTTTTGTCCAGTTCTGAGGCACAGTACTACCCCGGCTAAGAGCAGCCCCCTGTGGGCGAGCACGAACAAAATCATGTAGACGAACAGCAGCGCTAGAGCTTGTGAATTCTGGTTTGGGTGTTAGATTATTCCAAAGCTTGCCATTTCGAGCCTCCCAGATTGCCCAACCAGTAACAAAAAAGAGGTCCAAATCAGCATGGGATAAAAGGTCAATACATGAGAGGACCCAATCATGCACATGATGGAATTGTCGAGAGATACCACCGCTGCCAATTGAAGCACAGGCCCAGACCCCTCTTGCGAATGGGCAGTGCCATAACACATGCAAAGTAGACTCCATTTCAGCCCCACATAAGTCACAGCAAGTATCCAAGTGTATCTTTCGTTTCCACAAGTTGTCCTTAGTTGGTAGGATGCCATTGCATGCTCTCCACCAAAACAATTTGATTTTGCCTGGAATCTTTGCCTTCCAAAGAGCAGTCCACCCTTTACTAAAACCATTTTCAGTTGATGATGACGCCACGGTCCTGGGATCAAGAACCATACGGGCTACCTTGTAAGCACTTTTGACAGTAAACTGACCTTTTTTGTCAAAATGCCAGATAAGGGCGTCGTCCCTATGATGAAAGCTCAGCGGAATAGTTCGAATCACATCCACATCGGGGGGGTAAAGGAGGTTAGATAGAAGGCTGACATTCCAGCGTCGAGGGTGGGCAAGAATAAACTCATTCACCTTGGTAACAGCACAGCCGTGGGGTTTGTTGTTAATATTATGTTAACTCGCAATTGTACGGGGCAATTAGTAGTATAGCAAGACAAGTACGAGGTCGTACCCACGAAGACTGAGAAGTTAAAACTAGGATACTTTTCCAAACATAAGAAGAATTTTCAGGGACAGGGACGTCAAGAAAAGATTTGTCAGGAAAGTACTTAGCTCGTAGAACATTTGCTATAAAAGAGTTTGGATATTGTATGAGCCTCCATCCTTGCTTAGCTAACATAGCAAGGTTGAAAGCATATAAATCACGGAAGCCCAACCCCCCAAGATCTTTGGGTTGGCAAAGCTTATCCCAAGCAAGCCAATGTATTTTCCTGTCACCACTATTTCTGTTCCACACCAATCTTTGGGTTGGGCAATAAC